TCTCTCTCTCTCTCTCTCTCTCTCTCTCTCTCTCTCTCTCTCTCTCTCTCTCTCTGTGTGTGTGTGTGTGTGTGTGTGTGTATGTATCTGTGTCTGTCTTGTGACTATCATGGACACCACTGCTCCAATTAGAAAGGGGTATAGACCTGGAAAACAGAAGTTTAGTAAATGTCACTAAAATGTTTTCTGTATAACTGAGCATAAGATATAATTTTACTCATAATGGCCTAATTGTTCCAATTTAGAAGAATATGTTCTGGTTTTTTTTTGTACTGTCTCTTATTGACAGTGCCCCCCCTATTTTTGAAAATCAAAATATTATGTTATTTTAATGGTTTTATACATACTAGAATTTGTTATTCACTATTAAAATGTTACAAAGTTTGTAGGGGACTGTCTTTGTTTTTTTGGTGTGTAGGGCCTGGATAGATTAGATGTTTCTTTTTTAAGGTACTAGGTTCCCAAATCCCAGGGAAGCCATGCTAGCCAAGTGTTCTACTTTGGTACTGTATGCTCAAGTCTTGGGGAGAGGTGCTGGGCTGTCTTTTTGTTTTGTTTTGTTTTTTCGAGACAGGGTTTCTCAGTATAGCCCTGGCTGTCCTGGAACTCACTCTGTAGACCAGGCTGGCCTCGAACTCAGAAATCTGCCTGCCTCTGCCTCCCAAGTGCTAGGATTAAAGGCGTGCTCCACCACCGCCCGGCTGTGCTGGGCTGTCTTAATGATTGTTCTGTCTCTGAAAGTTTATGCTTTTCTGGGATTGTTTTAGTTTATTTTGTTTGTTTGTTTTTGTTGTTGTTATTGTTGGTTTGGTTTTTCAAGATAGGTTTCTCTGTAGCCTTGGCTGTCCTGGAACCTGCTTTGTAGACCAGACTAGCCTTGTCCTCAGCTATCTGTCTGCCGCTGCCTCCTGAGTGCTTGGATTAAAGGTGAGCACCACTATCACCTAGCTCCTAGGATTGTTTATATAACACTCTTTACCTCATAACTAGCTACTAAAATTCTCTAATGGTCTTAGCAAGAATTAGGTCATTTTGGTTGAGAATTCCAGATTTATTGTCTTTCTTAAAATTTTAAATGACAGTATAAGTAGGAAGATAAAAAAGGCTTTTAAACTTTATATGAAAAGCTTTACTAATAATTACCCCATTTTCCCTTATATATCTACTTTTTGAATTGCTTTCACACTTTTTCAGTTATCATATAATAATATCTGAGGAAGAGATGAGAGCAAATTTCTCTTCAACAGAAAAATAAGGTGCCACGGTCAGAAAATAAACTCACCACATTGCTAACAGTGTGGTATTTTTTTCTCTGAAATTTCCGCTCAGAACAGGAAACATAGACAGCAAGCTTGAGTGGGTGGGTCTCTGAGGTTAAAACTGTTAATAAAGTAAAATGCCTGAAATTTAGTTAACTCAAAAGACATTTCCAAACATAGCTAGTTCATTACCAAGAATGAAATGTTCAGACAGTTTGTACTAGGTAAGTATGCTGGATTTTCAATATTTCAGATGATTTTTTTCTCTTAGTAACTAATCTTAGCTCTTATCACTTATATGTAGTCTAGTAAATGAGGAAAGAATAGTTTGTGAATAAGAATGATTAATACTAGTAAAAGATCTATAGGTGATAAATTATGATAAACTTGAGATTTTATGTTTTAAATTGAAGAGATTGCATAGTATATTCTCATTTGTGACTAATTGAATTTATATGCTCTTCACTGTGAAGGGTTAAATCTAACGGTGTCCAGAATTCAAGTAAAGTCCTAAACTAAAACTCACAGTGATAGGAAGAGGTCTCTGTGCTTAAATTACTTTGACCTGATCTTTTGAAAATGAAATTTGAGTCTCTTCTTTTTGTTTGCTTGTTGGTTACCAGTAGCATCATGTCTCTTTTAGAAGATGCACATTGGTTTTAGAGTTCAAAAGAGATTAGGCCAAACTAAGAGGGTTTGGCTATCAAATCCTGAAATGATAGAATGCTTGTATGATTTTGATTCATACATATTATTATTCAAAATTCAACAAACTTCTAAAAATTTTATTTATTTATGTATTTTATGTTCATTGGTATTTTACCTGCATGTATATCTGCATGAGGTTGCTAGATCCCCTGGAATAGGAGTTGCAGACAGTTGTGAGCTGCCATGTGGATGCTGGAAATTGAACCAGGTTCCTCTGCAAGAAGAGCCAGTGCTCTTAACCACTAAGCCATCTCTCCAGCTTAATTTAACAGACTTTTAAGAGGCTAAAACATTGTACTGAAAATCTAGATTTTCATAAAATTAAGTGTAATGAAGTATGTAATGACCCTGTTGTACCTATGAGTTTAGATATTTAGCATAGAAACAATTTTTCTTTATAGGCCATAATTAGAATTCAGTGTCCCTAGTAGCCATGATTATTTTAATGCTTCCTGCTGTGGACATAAAGCACAGTGGAGTACCATTTGCTGGGTATTGTCATTCTCTCGGGCCATTCTGTTTGTGCAGTTAATGTGTTAGAATGGAAATTATAGGCTGCAACTACAAGCTTAATCACATTGGATTTAGGTACACACTGATTTCACTGTTTGGATAGGTTTGAAGTACTTAATTTTTTTTTTTGTTTTTTTGTTTTTTTGTTTTTCGAGACAGGGTTTCTCTGTATAGCCCGGGCTGTCCTGGAACTCACTCTGTAGACCAGGCTGGCCTCGAACTCAGAAATCCGCCTGCCTCTGCCTCCCGAGTGCTGGGATTAAAGGCGTGCGCCACCACCGCCCGGCTGAAGTACTTAATTTTGCATTTACTTTGTACTTTGGGTTTTTTGGTTTTTTTGTTTTTTGTTTTTTGTTTTTCGAGACAGGGTTTCTCTGTATAGCCCTGGCTGTCCTGGAACTCACTCTGTAGACCAGGTTGGCCTCGAACTCAGAAATCTGCCTGCCTCTGCCTATACTTTGGTATTTTTTTTCTTAATTAATATAAATGTATGTAATATATGACAAGAGGGAGAAATTATGGACAATTTTTTAAGGTGGAAAACTTCCAGTAATCTAAAAAGTATATATAATACTAGGTCCAGTCTTTATTATTATTGGAAAATCTGCAAATAAAATTCACAGAATGAAGATCTTTGAATATAATGGGCCATGACCAAAAAATAGCTTTAATTTGTTTTTAAATATGTTTTGTATGTTTGTTTTAAAATTTGTCCTATATATTTTCATCATATTCACCTCCTCTCACCCAACTCTTCCTAGATTCACTCCTTACTCCTTTTAACCTCCAACTTTGTGGTTTTTGTGGTTTTGCTTTTGTTTTCTCCATCAAGAACAATTCATGTTCCCCAAATAGTCTTGTATGTGTAGCTTTCTTCTAGAGCATGGTAGACTTATCAGACTTGGCGGCTAAGAACTTCCAAGAGTTCTCACCTAGGGAGGCTTTAGTCTAGCTCGGGTTATACAGCTTTTGTTTTGCTGTCATAACCACTTTGAATTCATGTGTGCAGCCAGCCTACTGTGCTATTTTATACAAATAAGTGTTTCTACTTAAAATTTTATGATCTTGTTTTTGCAGTAGTATGCCTATACCTTTTTATTGTGATGTAACAGAAAAAAACATACATGCTTTTTACAGGTCTTGGGAAATTTATTACCGAGATTAAAAGTATATAAGGTGATTTATCATGTGTAATATTTGTCACTTAATTTATTTTATTAACCTCCAGAATAGTTCTACATATCAAAAAAGTACACATTAAAGTAAGGGAGTTTTCGGTAGTATTTAAATTTGGATGTTATTATTGTTTTTAAGTAATTAAGTTATTAATGTTCCTAAAATTCTCAGGGCTTATGTCTCTGAATACAGTCATACCATTTGATCTGTGGAGATTAGCACCTTTTTTTCTTAGCCGGTCACTTAATTCTATGTTATCACTATGATAGCTGACAATAGATAATAAAACATATCCCTTTGTGCTGGAGCAGTATCTTAGTGGTTGGGAGCCATTGCTGCTCTTGCAGAAGACTGAAGTTTATTTCCCAGAATTTATCCCAGGCAGATTACAGCAGCCTACTCTTTACTTTAGCTCCGGGGGGTCTGATGCCCTCTTCTTGCCTCTGCAGGCACTCATACTTACGTTTATAGACACATACAAGAATACATACACATAACTAAAATTAGAATAAATCTTTTTAAAATACCCTTTGTTACCTGCCACAAGATATAAGATATAGAATGTTTTTTACAGAAATAAAGGGAAAAAAATTCACTGACCATACTCTATATAAAAGGGAAAAATAAATAAATTCAGCATGCATGATTATCTTTTTGGACCTCTCCTCATTGAAGCAGAGGTTCAGAAAGTCATTGAGGAGATTATGTGGTAAGAATTGTTCTGTACACTTTGAGGTAAACTGTGTTCTGAGTACTCAACAATAGTCACAAGCAAAGATTCCTAACATTTGCAATTTGAGAAAACGTTTGATAGTAAACTACTCATTGCTTTCCTTTCCTCATTTCTTTTTTTTTTTCAATAATCCTTCTTCTCTTATTCTTCATAGACGCATCTTTTTCTTTCTTTTCACATAAAGCAAATAAGCCATTTTGGAATTCATAATAATATCAAATCATGATATAAATATTTCATAATAAGCAAACTCTTTGACTGTGACCTATTAAAATGAATTTTAAGATATGACTCATATAAAAACAAAACTTTTTTATGTATTATTCATATATTTTCTACAGATCTCCAAGTAAGCCTTTGGCACGGAAATTAATGGATTGGGAAGTAGTCAGCAGAAATTCGTTATCTGATGACAGGTTAGAAACACAAAGCCTCCCATCCCGGTCTCCACCTGGAACTCCCAATCAGTAAGTGGCCAGCCCACGTCATGCTTGCATTTTGTACTTTCTAAGTTATTGACTATGTACTCTGTTGACTAAAGATCCCAATTTATAAAAATTTAAGTCCTTTGATCAAATTTTCAAAAAAAATAATTTTATCATATTTTACTGTTTTTAAGCGTGGGCCTCGGTCGGTCTCTCTCTCTCTCTCTCTCTCTCTCTCTCTCTCTCTCTCTCTCTCTCCCTCTCTCTCCCTCCCTCTCTCTCTCTCTCTCCCTCTCTCTCTCTCTCTTTGTGTGTGTGTGTGTGTGCGTGTGTATTCATATATGAAGACATGTGGACACGTGTATGCAACAGTGGACATATGGAGGTTAGAAACAACTTGCGAGAGTAAGTTTTTCCACTCTAGGATCCCTGGGATTGAAGCCAGGATTGAAGCTTGGTTGCAGATGCCTTTACCTGATTAGCCACCTCACCAGTCCCAAACATGATTTTTGTTACTTCAAACATTATTGCCTCTTTGCTTCCTGCTCATTGTAAAAGTGACCTAAAATAGCCTTAGGGAATGAGCAAGTAGAAAATTGAAGAACAGCCTTTACTTTCCTCAGCAGTTGATTTTCACCGGATGGGTAATTAAGGATTTAGTCATGACTTGAAAATTTCATAAAACTGCTATTTATGTAGTCCATTTATTTCCATATAGATTAATACCAGAATTTCTAAGGGAGCATAAATTGTTTGAAAATGCTTTGAGTGATTGTGGTGCAGAGCTCTAGTACTTCCTGTGGCCTAGGAAAAGACTTCTAACAGGAACCCCATAAGCTCAGAAAAAGCTGGGCCAAGAACCATGGGGTGCAGCTCTAACCTTGTGTGTATTGCAGTCTAGCGTTTCTTACAAAGCTGCCAGGTTTTGGAACAGGTAGTAAAAAGGTAAGGAAGACTTCTTCAAATATGGGCCAAAGGGAGGGCAAGGTAAGAGAAGCAAGGCTGGGGAAGGCGCACGTATAAGAGAGATGATCTAAAGAACAGCAATAGCTGAGGTTAACTTTCTAGGGAATGAAGTAATTTGAAGCACGGTATGAACTTTTTTTTTTAAGGAAACAGGACAGCATAGTGATTAAGTAGTGACTCTAGAGTCACTGGTTGAATCTTGAAGTTAATCTCTGTCTCATTTTTTTATCTACAAAATTGTAGTTGTAGATGGACACATGCTTTTAACCCCACCATCCTTGTTGTAGTGTCATACAGTCTTAATGAGGTTAAAATGTAAAATGTGGAATAAGGCATAAGATTAATAGTGGATAAGGCTTTAAGGCAGCTTGTAAACTGCAGGCATGTCTTGACTTCCCATTATGTGTGTGGTTTTTTTTCATATATTTCACACTATTTATAATCACTGTTAGAGATTCTGCATAGTCACCATAGACTTTCTCACACATACAAACACGCTCTCATGAAAACACATGATCAAAAAACAGGGAAAATCAAAGTATACTATTGTTCAGACTTTGTTTCTCTTCATTTAGTCGGAATTCTTCATTCACACAAGAGGGGACCCGGGTTCGACCGTCATCTGTTGGTCATTTGGTAGACCATGTGGTTCACACATCCCCCAGTGAGGATTTTGTAAGTCAGAGATCTCCATCATCAACGCAAGCTAATAGCATAGTTCTGGAATCATCACCGTAAGACCACTTTTTCATTTTGCCTCTTAATTCTTTATTTTCAAATATTTTAATTTTCTTCACTTGAAATAACTTAGGAAATTAGATAGAGTACTTGACATAAGGTGTTACTTATATAATCATAAATACATATTTGTAAATGTACTCATTTCTCCTTGAGATATCTTGTTCCCTCTCTTCCCTTTACCTGTCTGGTTACTCACTATTATTTCATTTTTAGTGGATACTCCCAAATATTTTTTCAGATAATATAATAGTGTAGTCAGGGAGTTGGAAATTGTAAGCTAGTTTTCCTAATGATTTTTAAAGGAGAGAAACCATAAATGTGAATGTATTACAAAAAATATCAAGGGAAAATAAGTGAGATGGTTGTCACACTTGGTTATAGAGCATGCTCATCTTTCTTTTTTATCTATTTCTTCTTCCTTTGTAGTCCTGGCTAACCTTGAACCCACAGTGATCTTATGTGCCTGTGTCCCACAAATATTTGCCACCACTACTAGCTATCCACATTATTTCTAAAGTCTGTTCCTACTACTACTTTACATAGTGATTGATAAAGCCAGCTTTTTAAGTATTGATTGACATTGGTTTAATGCATAGTCTACATATTCTCACATTAATATGCAATATCTTCATTTATTAGCTTATATAGTGGAAATAACGCATACATTTGACATAATTGAAGGACAGTACTTACACAATATCATAAGTGAGTAAGAAATACATCACTGAAGAGAAAGGAGTATGAGAAACACTATATAGTGAATGTGCTCAGCCTTTTTTTCTCCAGTCATTATTTTTTAATTCACTTTACATCCTGATCACAGCCTCCCTCCTTCCTCTTCTTCCAGTTCCACCCTTACAAGTCCCTTCCTCCATTGCCCCCTTCCCTTTTCAGAGAAGGAGGAGCCCCTCTTGTGTACCACCCAACCCTAGGATATCTGGTCCCAGAAGGGCTAGGCACATCCTCTCACATTGAGGCTCAACCAGGTGGCCAGGTAGGGGGAAGAAGTTCCAGTGGCAGACAACAGAGACTGAGACAGCCCCTGGTCTACTTGTTAGGGGTCTGACATGAAGACTAAGCTGCACATTTGCTACAAATGTAGTCCAGCCCCTGCATGTTCCCTGGTTGGTGGCCCAGTCTCTATGAGCCCCTAGGGTCTCAGGTTAGTTGACCCTGTGGGTCTTCTTATGGTGTCCTTGACCCCTCTGGCTTGCTCAATTCTACCCCTAACTCTTCCAAAAGACTCCCTGAGCTCTGCTTGATGTTTTGCTGTGGCTCTCTGCATCTGCCTCCATCTACTGCTAGATGAAGCCTCTCAGGAGACAGTTATGCTAGGTTCTTGTCTGCAAGCAATAGCAGAGTATCATTAATAGTGTTAGAGGTTTGCTTTCTCCCATGGAATGCGTCTCAAGTTGGGGTCATTTCTTGGTTGCATGATAAAGATGGAGCTGTTCCCTAAATCTCTGTTTCATCTTTATCCCTGCATATCTTGTAGGCAAGACAAATTTTGAGTTAATGTCCCCCTCCCTCCTTTGGTAGTCCTGCCTAGGTACAAGAGGTGGCAACTTCAGTCTCTATATTTTCCTCTTGGAATCCCAGCTAGGCTCACCCCTATAGACTCCCTTCTCCTCCCCAGTGCCAGGTCTCCAGCTAGTCCCAGCCCTCTCACAACCCCTCCCTCTCCTCATACTTGATTACCATCTCTGTTCCCCTCCTTACCCCTGTCCTACCTCTCTCCATCCACTTCCAATGACTAGTTTCCTCTTCTGTGAGATTCGAGGTCTTGGGGCCTCCTTATTACCCAGTTTCTTTGGGTCTGTGGATTGTAGCATGGTTGTCCTGCACTGTATTGCTAATGTCCATTTGTAAGTAATATATACCGTATGTGTCTTTTTGGCTCAGGGTTACCTCACTCAGGATAATATTCTCAAGTTCTACCCATTTGTGTACAAAATTCATGATGTCTTCGTTTTTAATAGCTAAACAGCATTCCATTGTGTAGATGAACCACATTTTCTTTATCCATTCTACTGTTGAGGAATATCTAAGTTGTTTCCTGTTTCTGGCTATTATGAATAAAGCTGCTATGAACATAGCTGAGTAAATGAGGATCAATCTTTAAGAAAGAACATGTCTTAGAGTAAGGGGTAAAAGAGAGATGGAGAAGTCAGCAAAGTGTTACAGCTATTCTGAGAAAACATGATAATTTATATTAGCCATGGTTTTCCTTAGACCAAACAAAGAATACTAGCTAAGTTGCTCAGACATATAAAAGTCTATCTAGCCTTGGTAATATTTTTTTGAAAAGAAATTTTGTATCTCTACTTATAAGGAATGAAAAATTTTATGTGTGTATATATGTTTGTGTGTGTGTATACACACATATATCATACACATTGATACTTGTAAAAACTGAGTTGATAGAATTGATAGAAATTTAATGTTGCCGGGCGGTGGTGGCGCACACCTTTAATCCCAGCACTTGAGAGGCAGAGGCAGGTGGATTTCTGGGTTCGAGGCCAGCCTGGTCTACCGAGTGAGTTCCAGGACAGCCAGGGCTCCACAGAGAAACCCTGTCTTGAAAAAAAAACAAAAAAAAAAAAAACAAAAAAGAAAAAAAAAACGAAATGTAATGTTTTATTACTTTTAAAATTGCTCTTTTGTTGGGTTTTAACAATTGTATTTTCTGATTTTTGAAACTTTAAAAATAAGAAGTAAAACTCAAGAAATAACCAAACAGTTGTGTTTTTCTATATTAATTACATCCTTGAAATGTTTAATGTATTTTCTAAGCTGTCTGTTTTACTGACTCTGAACACTAATTAGTGTTTTAGTTCCTTTTGTAGAACTGTGGCCAGATACTTAAGAGAACCACTTAAAGGGGGAAAAGATATGTTTTTGTTCACAGTTTTATAGATTTCAGTCTTGAGTTTTGGCTCTTGATTCTGGGCCCATCATGATGGAGTACTATTCAGCTACTAAGGAAAGGACAATATTATGGTAGCAAGGGCACACTACAGAGACTCAGCGAGACTCAGAGAGAAAATCAGAAGGGACAAGGGACTAGGTACTCACCCAGGATCTACCCCCAGTAACTATTTTCTGTACATACATCCTACCTGTTAAGTTTCCACAACCTCCCAACATACTACCTCAAGGTAGGAACTAAATTTTTTTTGTTTGTTTGTTTGTTTTTTTCGAGATAGTGTTTCTCTGTGTAGCCCTGGCTGTCCTGGAACTCACTCTGTAGACCAGGCTGGCCTTGAACTCAGAAATCCGCCTGCCTCTGCCTCGCAAGTGCTGGGATTAAAGGTGTGCGCCACCACTGCCCAGCCTGGAACTAAATATTTAACACATGAACTTGAAAGGCATATTTCATGTCCAAACTATAACAGTCATCTGTGTAAGACAGTGTTTACTTTTAAGTCCTCTTGGCATCAGTATAAATTAGCCAAAGAGTTAAAATGCCTAAGTTTTAAGCCAAAATTTTATCTATAATTTATGTAAAGTATAAGGTTAAATGACTGGTAATAGCAGGACTGACACTAGTGACTAGAGTTAAAAATGACATGATCTCCTTGTGTGTATACTTAGAAAATTAAAGTTCTTCCTAGAACTACCCTTAATGACCCAGGTTTATATTAATGTCTGTCTTAGAAGATAGCAGATTAGCAGACAGCCTTGGGTGTCAGTTCTTCTACAATTCCTACCTTTTGTTTGAGATAGCACGCTACCGGTGGGCAGGAAATCTCAACTACCTCTTGCTTTTATCCAGTATTTAGCAATTGATGATGCATATACATTTTTTCCAGAGCCTTGAATTTTCATTTTGAAAGTGCGTGTTGTATGTAATTTTCAAAATGTACTTATAAACATTTTTTAAAAAGAATTGAATAGGGCCGGGCGGTGGTGGCGCACACCTTTAATCCCAGCACTTGGGAGGCAGAGGCAGGTGGATTTCTGAGTTCGAGGCCAGCCTGGTCTACAGAGTGAGTTCCAGGACAGCCCAGGCTATACAGAGACCGCCTGTCTCGAAAAACCAAAAAAAAAAAAAAATTGAATAAATCAAACATATGTTGGCCAAACTTGAACAACCTCTGAATTTACAAGCACTTTCCAGAACAATGATTTCTAACCAGTACACTATGGAAAAAAAATCCCTGCAGCTTTTTTTAACAGTGCACATTTAATTAAGTGTTCTAACCCATAGAAATATGGATTTAACAGTTTTTGCAAAATATCTCGTATACCCTGTCCCTGTCACATAGCTGAACACTGCTACGAGGCCAGCTTTAACCATGTAGATACTCCATAATAGCCATGCTTCAGTTTATTCTGTCATGAATTTTAGCCAGACCAAGAATACAAGAAGTTTCTCTGACTTGATTGCCATCTCATTTCAGCCTCACACAACTTTTTTCTTCCAAGTCCTTGGTTTTGAGGCTTAATCCCTTTTAATGCAAACAAACAGCTGTTTGCAAGGCCAGAAAAAGTTCAGTGGCAGGTAATGCCCACTTTTCACACATCCATTAGATTCTATCAAAGGATGTCTGTTTTGATTTGCCTTCATATCAAGTAGACCATGGTTCAGGACAGTATTCAGGATCATAGGAATATTTCCCTGGACTAACAGCGCTTGAATTTAACCCTTTGAAACGTGTCTTCTTGGCAGTTAAAAAAGAACAGAATAAAAAACTGGGGTGTATGGTGGCAGATCTTAGGGAACGCTTTCATTGATGAGAAAGGATACATACCCCAATGCAGTAATTAGTAAATCCACCAAAATGTAGAACATTTGTGGTGTACCAAAGAAAAATGGAAGGCTATGAAGGAAGGGGCCGTATTGGATATTATAGGGTTATGGAGTTAGGATGTGTATGTGAAAGTACAGATATGTATGAAATTCTCAGAGCATAAGTAAAGATGATCTTTTAAAAAAAAATTAGAGTTGATTTCTGAAGTGCTTCTACACAGACACCTAGGTGAGTGGGCA